AACTATTCAAACATGAAGCAAGACCCCAATCAACAAACATTTATAAATGCAAATAGAAAACACTTGTAAAGGGTTTAGGAGCCTTTTAATAGTCTTTTAGTGTGGTTGAATTACTGTTATTTATTTTTCCAGTTTCACATAATTGTGTGTTTTTATTAGCATTTCTGTAACTCATAATCTAGTAACGATATATCTATAAATAAAAATCCTCAAAAATGACTTTAGAACAGGCGCAAATCTGATCGAGGACCTGAATTTATTTACTTGGGTCAGACCGCAACACAGAAGGGCTGAAGCTGGGTGGTAAAGACACAATTAGTTCAAACACCTGAGCGCCCATGACGTCTGAGACTGACACAGTCAGAGTTACAGCAGGACTGAGGACACGATCAGGAACAGTTTCCAGTTGGATCATGATCTAAGAAGGTGAAAGATCATGATGAGAAATAATGAACTGATGTGCGAGCAGTGCACTGGTGATCCGACTTTCAGGACGTCCCGCTGTCATTCCAAGAAGGGTGCAGCTGCGGATTCAAGCCTGCAGCAGCGACTTTGCGGGTCTCTGGGTCTGCAGTGTTACACTACTCCTCGCATCTTCCTTGTTCCTCACTGGCTGTGTTCCACTTGAATGAAAACATCTGCTCCTTTAGCTCCCGATTAGCCAAGATCTGGAAAGATAGTCGTTCAGAACTATAACAGCAAGACCATAGGTGAGATAGGAATACCATGGGAATATTACAGTAGTAAGTGTAGTAAGTGATCCTTACTGTAAAACACCCAAGAATGCCAACACCAGATATGACAATGTATTTATCAACTCACTGTGTATGACTCGTCTTCATTTGTCATCTAGAATCTTCCGGTGCTGATCTGTAACTGGATACGGCCGCAAAACTCAGGGAAGGGCAGTGAGAAAGTGACTGCAGTAACCAAATTCGACCACAAGATGCCACTCTTACTCCATTCCTACATAATGCACCTTTAAAGTTAGACTTTAAATTTCACCATGCATTCTTAAACAAATGAAATTATTGAAACTTTTTCTAAGTTTATTCAAATAAAGCAATTAAATTGTCTAAATGAGCTGAAGCAACACATTTGACAAACACCTTTATTTCTGTTGTAAGTGTTGGTCATGAGCGCCTAAATGACTGAAGGTGTGGCTCTAGTTGTAATCATGCTTGACAGACCTGTTTAAAGGAAGTTTTGCTGTGAAGTATTGCTAACTGAATATGCATATGTGGTATTTTGAGATGCACAGCACAAGCAGCACAGCGTGTCTGGATCTGATCCGATTTCATGCTGAGAGACAAATTATTGACAATCTTCCCATCAGAAAGGCTAGATTCAAATGTCAAGCTTCATTTTCTCAGTCTGCAGAGGATGTACTATTATTGAAAGGCAACCTGCCACTCTAAAACTCACTCCTGTCAGCAACATTTCAAACTTTTTCAGTGTGAAAGCCTTGGAGAGGGGGGGGGGTCATTTAAAGAAGAAAATTGCTGTTGCAAACTAAAATGGCTACAGTAAATCACAACTTGAGTTCCTATGACGTGGTGTCTTCTTCATCTTCACCTGCAACGGGGAAGGCTGTTGTTGGTTTAATGTCCAGGAAACAGCACAGAACGTCTTGGCTAATAGAAGCAAACCGTTAGCATTAGCAGCTCCACCACACAGCAGAACTCCTCCAGGCTTGTGTTATTTATCGAGATAAATCATCAGCGTTGCAGAGTCAATGGTAGAGTTGTGTTGCTGTTAGCCAATCCGAGGCGAGATGTTCAAACGTCAGGAAATACGACTCCATATCCTGCAGTCCTCAGCTCTCCTCTGATGTGGCATTCTGATATTTCCTGAAACAAGCTCTTCTGGGCTTGTCCCCCTGAGTACGACCTGCAAGGCATTCATTCTATCACCTCATGTGTTTTCTGTCTGTTACAGAAACTCATATAAAAAATTGTTGAATAGTAAAAGATCAAAAATTACTGCCCTACTGTACATTCGTTTTGTGTGTTGATTCATAATCAACTTCCTTTTTCTTATTTAGCACGGTGATGTAATTCAATGTCTCTCTACCTTCTGCTGATGTGTTTCAGCTGGAACTTCTGCCTTCGTCAGAGGGCGACATCATCCTCTGCTGCCCGCACATGAACGGAAGTGACGCCGCGAACAGCTGGCAGCTCTGACGAAGGCAAAAGTTCCGGCACAGGACAAACACACAAAGACACGCAGGACAAACAACCAAGCATGCACGAACTTACACCTAAGGACAATTTTGAGAGACCAATAAACCTGACAGTCATATTTTTAGACTGTGGGAGAAAGCCGAAGTACCCGGAGAGAGCTCACGCATGCGCAAGGAGAACATGCTAACTCCATGTAGAAAGAGCCCAGGATTTGAACTCAGGACCTCACAGCTGCAAGGCTAACCACTGCACCACTGTGCAGCTACGTAACTATTACATATACATACATACACTCACCTAAAGGATCATTAGGAACACCTGTTTAACTTCTCCTTAATGCAATTATCTAATCAACCAAGCACATGGCAGTTGCTTCAATGCATGTAGGGGTGTGGTCCTGGTCAAGATAATCTCCTGAACACCAAACTGAATGTTGTTGGTGCCAGACGGGCCGGTCTGAGTAGTTCACAATGTGCTCAGTTACTGGGATTTTTACCCACAACCATTTCTAGGGTTGACAGAGAATGGTGTGAAAAGGGAAAAACATCCAGTTTGCGGCAGTCCTGTGGGCGAAAATGCCTTGTTGATGCTAGAGGTCAGAGGAGAATGGGCCGACTGATTCAAGCTGATAGAAGAGCAACTTTGACTGAAATAACTACTCGTTACAACCGAGGAATGCAGCAAAGCGTTTAAGAAGCCACAAAATGCACAACCTTGCAGCAGATGGCCTACAACAGCAGAAGACCCCACCAGGTACCACTCATCTCCACTACAAATAGGGAAAAGAGGCCACGAGTTCAACTAAATTGGACAGTTGAAGTCTGTAGAAATGTTGCCTGGTTTGATGAGTCTCAATGTGTGTTGAGACATTCAAATGGTAGCGTTGGAATTTGGCGTAAACAGAATGAGAACATGGATCCATCATGCCTTGTTACCACTGAGCTGGCTGGTGGTGGTGGTGTGATGGTGTGGGGGATGTTTTCTTTGCACACTTTAAACCCCTTACTGATAATTGGTGATGCTCACTCCTCACACATGCCACGTTGGCCTCAAGGGATAAACCATCAACCCTGCTCAATGGTCAACTTTCCTGGTGGGGTCACCCAATAGGACAGTGGAAAGGTTAAATGCCATTGCCTACCTGAGTATTGTTGCTGACCATGCCCATCCCTGTATGACCACAGTGTACCCATCCTCAGATGGCTACTTCTAGCAGGATAATGCATCATGTCATAAACCTTAATTAATCTCAGACTGGTTTCTTGAACATGACAATGAGTTCACTGTGCTACAATGGCCCCCACAGTCATCAGAGCTCATCTTTAGGATGTGGTGGAACGGGAGCTTCGTGCCCTGGACATGCATCCCACAAATCTCCATCAACTGCAAGATGCTATCCTATCCATATGGGCCAACCTTTCTAAAGAATGCTTTCAGCACCTTGTTGAACCAATGCCACGTAGAATTAAGGCAGTTCTGAAGGCGAAAGGGGGTCAAATACCGTAGTAGTATGATGGACACGTGCACATTTTCTTGGCATACTTTGGGCCCCTTAGTAATTATTGATCCTCGTTGCAATGCCATAGCCTACCTGAGTATTGTTGCTGACCATGCCCATCACTTTATGACCACAGTGTGCCCATCCTCAGATGGCTACTTCTAGCCGGATAATGCATCACGTCATAAACCTTAATTAATCTCAGACTGGTTTCTTGAACATGACAATGAGTTCACTGTACTCACATGACCTCCACAGTCACCAGAGCTCAACACAATAGAGCACTTTTGGGATGTGGTGGAACGGGAGATTCACCCCATGGATGTGCAGCTGACAAATCTGCAGCACCTGTGTGATGCTATCGTGTCAATATGGATCAAAATCTCTGAGGACTGTTTCCAGTACCTTGTTGAATCTTTGCCAGGAAGGATTAAGGTAGTTCTGAAGGCAAAAGGGGGTCCAACCCGGTACAAGCAATGTGTTCCCAATAAAGGGGCCAGTGAGTGTGTGTGTGTGTGTGTGTGTGTGTGTGTGTGTGTGTGTGTGTGTGTGTGTGTGTGTGTGTGTGTGTGTGTGTGTGTGTGTGTGGGAACTTTGGTGTTATCTTTGACCAGGACATGCCATTTAAATCCCACTTTAAACAGGTTTGTAGGATTTCCTTTTTCCACCTTCGGAATATTGCTAAGATTAGAAGCATCCTTTCCAGGAGTGATGCTGAAAAACTAGTTCATGCATTTATTACATCAGGACTGGATTACTGTAATTTATTACTCTCAGGAAGTCCACAGAATGTAGTTAAAAGTCTTCAGCTTGTCCAAAATGCTGCAGCTAGAGTTCTGATGAGAATTAAAAAGAGAGATCGTATCTCTCCTGTCTTAGCTTCCCTACATTGGCTGCCTGTTAAAGCAAGGGAACAGTAAAGATGCAAAAACTACCGTTGTTAACTTAGAAAATGTGGGTGCAATTTTAATTACTTGTCATGGCTGCTTATACTGAGCCAGGATCCTCTGGAGGTTTCTTCGTGTTAAAAGGGAGTTTTCCTCTCCACTGTCGCTAAATGCTTGCTTAGTATGAGGATTGCTGTGAAGACACTGAAACTAGTCAATGACTTGATGCAACCTGCTGAGTTCCTTATATAGAAAACTTTTTACTGATTGGTTTAATGAACTGACCTGTTTTGGAATGTTTGCTGTGTGAAGTGCCTTGAGACGACTCTGGTTGTGATTTGACGCTTTACAAATAATTGAATTGAATTGAATGTATATAATGACCTGTGAGACCTGCTTGGTTGAGGTTAATTATCAGGAGTGAAAGAAAACCACTTCCATATGTTTTGCTGTGCAGTATAAATTTATTACAAAAATGTGTTTATCTGATTAAAAATGTAACTGCATAATGGCCTCGAGTGTGTGTTTTGTTTTATTTACCTCCTGTGTCACATGAGATGACTTGGTCTCATTCACACAAACAGAAAATGACATTCATTTTAGCACCATTCCCCTTCAAAAACAAACTGTAAATAACAATAACTGAATAAGTCTCATGTCAATAAATACATATTTTATACAAAGCACACATAAAAAACAGCAGCTCCATCAAACACGAATGGACATTAAAGGTATAAGCAACAACAATGAACCATGGAAGAATAAACGGTGGGGTGTCAGGGTCCATGTGTTTTACACTGATTGGGTCGATCTGTTGCTTTCAATAAAATGACTTTTAAAATGTTTCAGTCAAGTGGTGCATTTGTCACAGAAGTGGATCAGTTGTTGAAGCAGAAGTCCTCCACATTGTTCAGTTTGATGGTTTGTAACTCCTGGCTGTCCAGCAGCCGGTAGCTGAAAGACACTCGACTAACAAACCTCCCGCTGGACACCATCCTCACCACCGTGTTGTCACAGGCGATCTTCATGTGGGCTGTGGGAGGAAGAAGAGGAAGCAAGTTTAAATCTCAGCAAGGGTGAGCGGAGAACGATTGAGGAAGGCGGGCTCTTACTGGGTCCGCTGAAGGAGATGCAAAGGTCTGCGATGGGAAGCAGCTTTGACGTGTCAATGCCGTTTCCTCCTAACAGTTGCACGTAGTCCCCGGTCTCTGCACATCCAGGCAAGGCTCTCTGGGGGGATCAGCAGGATTTAGATAAGTAACCATTGCTTCTACTCAGGAAGTAAATCAAAAGTCTGATTCTGATTGGAGCTTATTCTTGAGAAATAAAGTTTAGGATAAAAAAACACACTGATTAATATCGAGTGTTTATTATTAATTTTTTTCATACGTTTCTGTGGATCTTTACATATTTACATGACTTTCAAACACCTGTTAAACTCTATCATCTCCTGAGGCGGCTCAGAGCTTTACGCCACCAGCGCATCACAATCCACATCTTTGTTTGCTTTACGGCTGAAAACAGCAACAAGCCCAAGGAGGCTGTAATTTCCATCTGTGATTGGTTGATTTGAAACTCAGATCATTTCCAATCAACAATTATAATAACATTAAATATGGCATACTTTGCAGCACATGAACAGCCATTACTAAGCACTAGGTATTAGGGATGTAAGAAAATATTGATGTGGCAATACATCGTGATATTTTTTCCTGAGATATTATGTCGAAATTCAAAAGCTGTGCATTGAATTTTTAAGATTTTCTTTTCTTTTGGTGTAATTCAAGCGCAGACCGATAGTTGGCAGCAATGTGCGGTGGGTTTTGTTTCCACCATTGAAATGTAAATCCCTTTATTGTGTTTCAGATACCTCATGTTAAACGTAATATATATTCGTTTGGAGTGTTTATTGAATTTTCCTACAATAAATTCAGTCTAAATCTAATATCGTCTGGCTGAATGTATCACAATATATTTTGATATATCGTATTGTCTCCCCTGTATTATGATACATATCGTATCGTCAGAATTTCCCCAATACACACCCCTACTAGCACTGGGTCACACAACCAGTTTTCTACGTGGAAGTGCTTTATTTAGAAAATAATTATTTACTTGTATTTTGGGGTGATTTAGAATATAATTAGATAATAAACATGTGGATGAGGACTTGAAATGCTGTGTGAATGATTGCAAAAGTATATTAAAGCTGCAAAAGTACATGAAAATAACATGTTTGGGTTATTTGTGACATGGAAAATGTAACTTTTCTTTTCAAACCCCAGTGAGTCACAGCAGATGGCTGCTCGTACTGATCCAGGTTATTTTCCTCTCCACTGTCGCTACGTGCTTGTTTAGTATGAGGATTATTGTAAAGTCTGACTCAACAAGTCAGTGACTCGACGCAATCTGCTTGGTTTGCTTATGTAGGAGACTTTTGACTAATTAGAAAAATGAACTGAAATCGATGCACTGATAAGAAGGTTCATCAAACTAGTACAATAATCAAAAACTGGTAGCTCACAAAACAGTGCTTCCATTACTAGATCCATTATAGACATAAATATGCTTCAGGCATTAAAAAATAATAGATATATCATATAAATAATTATGGAACATTCAGGGGTCAAAGACAAACCAACTAATTAAAATTAATCTTCAGCTGGATTGATTGGTCAAATGGTAAGTCGAACAGACAGCAATGCTATAAAAGCAAAGAGCTGCTGTAGGAGCTTTGATTTCCACTCAGAAAGTCAATGTGAATAAAAAATTTAAAAAGTGTCGATGCTTGGAAATAAAAATATGCACTGGACTCAGCACCACACATAAAGGCGCATTTTTGGATGCGTGTCACTGTATTTTGCCCTCATTCTGCCATCCTGTGTTCTGACCTTTTTTAAACACCTGATGTGTGTGGGTGCAGCGGGATGGAAGTGTGTGACATTTAGATGGCATGACGAATTAAGAGCATGTCTGCAATGCAGAATATATATACATATGTTTTAAAAAAATAATATTAGTTTTTCTTTTCTAGATGATGATTTTTTTATGTTTAGACACAAAATAAATCTTTATTTGATTAATTACACAAACCTGTAGTGCTAATAATAAAAATATGAAAAAATGTGAAATCCTGATAAATAGTTATACAGTATACTTTTAAAAAAAAACTGGACTTTTAATTGAACATGACCTTAAATGATATGATTTTTGCAAAACTATTAAGAAACAAACAAATACAACCTGGGATTTCAGTAAGGAAGAAGATTGCCTTTTGCAGGAAATTTGAACTCTGCAGCATCACATTTAAGGGAAGGTTCACAAACCCTTATTACTTGTAAGAAGATAAATTGTTAGAAAACTGAAAAGTTATTTTCCTCTGCTAATGTTTGATGCCTTCAAAACATTGACTTCACCTGCGAGCAGGTAGAACAACAGTAACTTTTATGTGCCTTTAATGCAGGTTTCTGTTTTTCACCTTAGGAAGGTTGTGCCGTCCCAGACTGAACTCTGAGATGTCGATGGCTACTGGATAGATGATGGAGAAGCTGCAGTTCCTGTGCTGCTGAGGGCTCGCCATAGTGTAAGTGCCCTCTGGTGACTGTGAGATGACATTACAGGCTGCAGAGAAACAGGGATGCTGTAGGCGTCAGATCTTGAATTTATGGATTTATGAGAAAACAACATCAAGACACATTCTTCTAGAGCAAGAGTGTCCAAACGTTTCAGACCAGGTCCAAAATCCTCAACTTAAAAACCCTCGTAGGGCCGCAAATATGTGACCTTTTAATTAATAAAAATGCAAATCTTAGTATTTTGTTTTGTACTTTACAAATAAGACCTCAAATCAATAAATTAGTAAAAATGAGAATAACAATAAAAATTTGTTCTACATTAAGAGCCTGGAGAGAGAATGTAAGTAGGGGCCAAATAAAATCAATCTGAGGGCCGTAAATGGTCCCTGTGCCGCATTTTGGACATGCCTGCTCCACAGCATTAGAGTATTTTAAAATACATAAAAGTAATGCTGTCTATAAAACACTTGTTTATGAAGTTATTTGAATTAAAATCTCTCAAACATAAAGCGACATTTGCAGTTTTATTGGCAGTCTCAGAACCTTTCAGCATGAGCCAAATGAGGGCTCTTTCCGTTTAAGAAAAACAAGCTGTTGCTGGCCACGCCCACCCCACCATCACTCAAGCTCCATAGGCTAAAAGGCTCGCCAATCAGGGAGGGGCTCCTGGAGGTGTCAGTGCTAATTTCCATTTGTGACATCACAAATTGGGACTTTTAGAAACGGCATGTTTTAGGCCTAAAGGAAACTGAGGCAAAATGGATGGGCATTATTATATTTTATGTTTATGGAGGCAGTAGAGACCCACATGGCAGCACAAAAGAATGCAAAAGGTAGGTTTTGCATAATAATGTCCCCTTTAATGATGTGAGCATAAATCACTTGTCTGCATAAAAATGAGACTGAATTACTTTTTATTCATCTTTATTGCTACACCTGGTTAGTTAAGTAAAAAAAGCGTAAAAAGTATCAAGAAAATTTTTTACCCCATGATTACTGTGGTTGCCATGTTGATCAAAATCCACCCCCCCCCCCCCCCCCCCCCACCCCCCATCAGATTCAAACCGCCATCACCTCCTGCACAGGTCAGATTTTCTACTTACGGAAGGGGTTGATGTGCTTTCTGACCGTCACCGTGAAGCTGCTGCCGGCGCTGTGGACGCGGAAGAAGATCATGGCCACATTCTGAGAGGAGCGCACGCTTCTCCTCACTGACCCCGAGTCGCAGAAGTCCACGTAACGCTCATGCAGAGGCAGCGGGTGATCCTGAGTGCTGGGGAACTTTTCACCCTTCATCACCCAGCCATCAAACACCTCCAGGACACAAATGGACGCACAGAGATACCACTTTAATTGCACTTCAGTGACAAGTTAGTGATGAAAAAGTTGCAGGTTATTTAGTGGAAACAATTAAAGGAGCTTCTAATCCAATCAGAAATTGTTCTGGTTCCAGAATAGAAGCATAATCCAAACTCAAACTAAACAAACTTGCAGCTTTAAAGAGGTGTTAAGTTTGCTGGGATCTCACTGTGATGAAGTCTCCTCCGCTGCAGTCGATGTCTGCTTGGTCGTAATCCACGCTGATCACCTCGTTGGGTTCAGCCATGAAGAAAGCAGCACAGCTGAGCTGAGGAGACTCAGCTGTGAAGGTGAACTGACCCTCCACTGAGACCATGTCCAGGCAGCCTGAGACACAATCACAGCAGCCCATTAGAATAAAGACAAGAGTGCTTCTGCTTCTTTTATTTAGTTTTGAAACAAAAATAGCTCTTCAACTTGAATAGTTTATTATTATTATTATTATTGCTTTATAGTAAATGTTTTGAATTGTACAAGGAAAAACAGGATTTTTCAAAAATAGAATAACTTCAGGTGAAGTGTAAGAAAAGAGAGAAAAACTCACGTAAAGGTCGGCGGTACATGAGCACATCAGCTGAATCCCTCTTGGGATCAGGGTTGAAAATGGAATATAATTCATCTTTTGCAATCTCGTTGTTCTGCAAGATGGATAAAAAAATAAAGTGCATTGCACAATTTTAAGCACATCTTCAAAAACAAACAAATAAATAAGTGGAACAATGATAAAGTGAAGACCCAGTCTCTTACCTCTATGTATCTGGAGTCTCCCTTGAGGACCGACAGACACAACAGCAGGAAGAAGAGCTGCTCCCGGAAAGTGCGCTCCATAACCCGGATCAGAGTCTGCAGGGATCACCTGAAAGTCTGAGCTGCTCTGCGGTCAGCGCTGCTTTTATACTGGACCAAGTCCTGCAAGAACCATGATGATGGTTGCCCACCGTCACCCACCGTGCACTCCCCCTCCCCCCAGCTAGTGCGTGTTTGTGACGAGAGTGAGATGGGAGATAAAGAGGGAGGAAGAGATGGACAGCTGATGCCAAGTGAGCGTCAACTGGCAAATAAATCAAAGCTTATCTCCCCTCAGAGTATCTCAGGAGCTGCTTTACTGTCCACACACACACACACACACACACACACACACACACACACACACACACACACACACACACACACACACACACACACACACACACACACACACATATTATTTAGTTTAATTTGATAACAGATAAGAGGTGAACAGGCTGAATTGTTTCAGCACTCTAGCTCTGTATCAGGAGCTGGTCGTATTGTAATAATTTCAAAGGTTTCTACATTTTAGTTAATAAATAAATTGAAATATGAATAATTATGATCCATTTTTTATGATTAAAAAAACTTCAATGTTTAAAATGAGCTAAATATACAAATGAGCCCTGAGTATTTAGGTTTAAATTTCAGTTGCGTTAAATTTAAATATTTGGATTTAAATCTGAATATGACGAATAAAAATGACCCGCAGTTGTAAAGCGCCTGTCTGAGTCAGAGGACTCCAAAGTGCTTTACACTCCAGGGTATCATTCATCCATTCACACACTGATGATGGTGAGCTACAATGTAGCCACAGCTGCCATGGGGCGCACTGACGGATGTCTTTCCAAGCACAGGAACCACCGGTCCCTCCGACCACCACCAGCAGGCTAAGTGCCTTGCCCAAGGAAACAACAGCACCATTCTCTGACAGGTTAAACATGTAACCTTCCAATTGTTGGACAACCAACTCTACCTCCTGCGCTACTGCTGTCCCCTGAAATTAGCTGAAATGGAGTGAATGACTGACTGTGTTGTAAAGTGCTTTGGGGGGTTGAATGACCATAGAAGACACTTTATCAAATACAGACCATTTTAATGTTTGTTCTGTGTTGTTCAACACTTTTGTCTGCCTCTTGGTTGTGTGAAAGTGCTCTATAGATGATGATGATGATGATGCTGATGATGCTGATGCTGATGATGCTGATGCTGATGATGATGATGATGATGTTGTTGATGATGATGATGTTGTTGATGATATTGATGATGATGATGCTGATGATGATGATGATGATGATGTTGTTGATGATGATGATGTTGTTGATGATATTGATGATGATGATGATGATGATGTTGACGATGATAATGATGATGTTGATGATGATGATGATGATGATGATGATGTTGACGATGTTGATGATGATGTTGACGATGTTGATGATGATGTTGACGATGATGATGATGATGTTGATGATGATGATGATGATGATGATGATGTTGACGATGTTGATGATGATGTTGACGATGATGATGTTGATGATGATGATGATGATGATGTTGATGATGATGATGATGATGTTGTTGATGATGATGATGATGATGACGATGATGATGTTGACGATGATGATGACGATGATGATGTTGACGATGATGATGATGACGATGATGTTGACGATGATGATGTTGACGATGATGATGATGTTGACGATGATGATGATGATGATGATGTTGACGCTGATGATGATGATGATGTTGTCGATGATGATGATGTTGACGATGATGATGATGATGACGTTGACGATGACGATGATGATGATGATGATGAAGATGATGATGACGATGACGACGATGGTGATGATGATGATGATGATGTTGACGATGGTGATGATGATGATGATGTTGACGATGACGATGATGATGATGAAGATGATTATGATGATGACGACGATGGTGGTGATGATGATGATGATGATAAAAGCCTAAAAAATATTCTGTTCCCTCTAAGAAAATGATATTAAAGCTGCTTTACTGATTTGCAATGAAGCGCTGGGACAACTGAGACATGTACCAAGGCATTTGCCATTTGATGAAATGAATGAGAAATTCTGTTGTGAACATTTGCCAAGAGGTTCGGAGGTTTGTCCACGTTATTTTGAGAATGTAATTTCTGTTTCAAGCAATGAGCCAAGCCAACAGAGAAAAACTGTAAAAAGCTAATATTCACACAGCGGTGACATCTAACTCGTGTTACAACCTGACGTCCTTCACAACATTCTCTGAAACACGTTCACTAAGCAGCTTACAGGCCTGCTATGTGAGATATGGTGAAAACGAACCCTCAGGGGCTTTAGGCACTTTAGTGTCAGAGTGAGGAAACGCCACATGAACACACTCTCGGGGTTCATTATAAGAATTTTACAGTAAACAACCGATTATACCTCAAAACCAAAAACCTTTTATAACAAATTAAGCATCAAAGTTATTTCTGAATTCAATTCAGAAATGAATGCTTGTGTCCCTCTGTCGCTGCCTCTTCCTCCCAGGGCCCTGTGTCCACATATGTGGAAAACGGATCCTTGCACTTTTAAAATGTAACCTTTTTTATTTATTATTATTTCATTCATTATTAAAAAAGAAAAAAAACAATACTAACAAATAAAATGACGTTTCTCAAACCAAGAAAATGAAAAGGGAACAGAAAGAAGAAAACTTCTGTTATCGGCCCCTTTTTAACTAAAATGACATCTTTACAATGAAATAACAATAATTATAAATTGGCCTATACAAAGTAATTGCTTGACTGGTTAGCTAACTTGAGTTCAATTTTTAAAGAAGAATGAAAAAATTAATAGTAATAATAATTCAAAAAGCAAAAGGATTTTTGCATATACATATATACATTAAAGTGCATCGATAATACATAATCAATTTCCTTCTGGGATTAATAAAGTATTTTTCAATTGAATTGAATTGAATGCCCATTGGTCGCACATACTTCATTTATACATATAGATATACACACGTATCCACTACATATACACACAAACAAACATACATACATATTTATGCATACACACATGAACATACCTACACACATCTTCTATAGCTTTATTTATTTAGTTAGTTTTTTATATCATTGATTTGCATGTATATGATTCCAGTATTTGATTTTTAATTAGTTTTTTGAAAGTAAATATTGTTTTTGCATCCTTGATTACATTACCTAGCTTATTCCATATTTTAACACCATATATAGAGGAACAACACTCCTTTATAATTATTCTATACTTAGGTATTGTAAATAATTCATGTCCTTCTAGTTCATATTTACTCTGTCTTTTTATAAATCTTCTAAGTAAATGTTTAGGAAGGTTTTTTTTGTTTGCATTACACATACATTTAGAAATATTGTAGTCCAGTAGGTCATTGAATTTTCACCTTAACCCTTTTTGTTATTATTTATAGACACATGATATTGATACTGACTTTCAATTTTTTTCTTTCTTTTTTTATAGGAAATTAGACAAATTTAATTTAATTTAATTTTCGTTTAATTTTAATATTTGTAATTTTTTGTCCGTTTATGTGAGTAGATACTCTGTAATAGTTGGATGTATTTTTTCTTTTAAATCACATCAAATACAGGTTCAGGTCTCAGAAGGTGAAAATATAATTTATACGCTTCAACACCCAATTTTCTGCACAAGATGAAAATTCATAAACAGGAAGATTGAAAGGGGGGAAACAGAAAAAAGCTAAAAGGGGTGCATGCATACACACAGGCATACACACACATGCATGCATACACACACTCAAACACACACACACACACGCATACACACACACATACACACACACACACGCATACACACACACATACACACACAGGGATGCATACACACACTCAAACACAGACACACACACACACACACACACACACACACACACACACACACACACACATACACGCATACACACACACACACACGCATACACACACACACACACACACACACACACACACACACACACATACACAGGGATGGAGCACAATGTTTACAAGTGAATTATCTCCAGTATCGATGTTTAAACTCACAGGGGTTGCAGGTCTCCTGTTCTATGAGCAATGGGCTGGGAATCAGTTGGTAAGGAGCACTAAACGTTGTTTTGCCGCCGCCGTGCGGAGCGGAGCGGTTGGGGAAACACATTTCAAAGACGGAACCAAGTGCAGCTACCGAACCGAGCAAAATACTGACGACTTATCACGTGTGTAAGATTTGGGTTTCAACCAACAGAAGCAGGAGGGAGACTTAAAAAGTATAAATGTACAAAAAACTACTCAATTATAGTAACGCAAGTAAATGTACTTTGTTACTTTCCACCTCTGCAGTACATGATAAGACAATTACTTTTACGGCTTTCTGAAAAATCATACGTCATTTTTGAAAGGGGAAAACTACTTTAACTCCTGTTTATCATTACAAAGTAAATAAGCTTATAACATAATAAAGCAGCTTTTCTCAGAACAAACCGTTTCTTTTTTTCATTACTGATTTGTGTATAAAAGAAGCTTGGAGACAGGACAGACTTTTGGGTACCTTTATTCAACAACAACAAGGTAAATGTGGCTCTAAATGCTGCAGATCACCCTGAATGGTTCTGTTTGACTGTAAAACACAGTAAAAATGGATGCAACATCACTTGTCACTTCATGAATCCCTGCAAATATAAAATTCACTATCACGATCATCCATGCACGCCATTTAAATCACCATCACAATGGTCACCATAACAACAACCGCATGAAAAGACGAGTCAAAAGCAGCCAGATTCATGACTAGTGACGTCACTTTTGACAATCATGCCTCTCATTCTGATTTATTTCCAAATGTTTCGAAGGTTTTCTCCCAGTCAAGTTGTGGGAGGAAGAAGCTGCAAAATAGATGTCACCAAGTTGTTGCACTGCACCTTTAAGTTGGCATGCCGTTCACTTTGTGAGTAAAATAAAATATCGTCAGGTGGATCCTGGTGACCAAATGGTTCTATACTGTTCCCAAACTTTAATCAGAGCCTTTCTCCGGTGACCTTTGATTGTTTTTGATGAAATGTTT